ACTTGTTGCTAGTTTTAATTATTATAAAATTTCTCGCACGTATCAAACTTCAAAGCGAAGAAATAGAAGAGAGAGAAAAAGACTCAAGTTGATATACAAAATAATTATTTATCTAGTAATATCATGAAGTTGTAGATTCAATCACACCACATCGAGATTACACTATCGTTTATTACTGTATTGTTGTGTCTGAGCTCTGGACCTATCTCCAGTCACTCGATCTAGAACTGAGACGGTCCCCAACTGAGATATAACATTTGCATTATTATTGTCTAATAATTGACTACCATTACTTCGATTAAATTATGACACATCGAGATTGTTACACTTCTTTAATTATTAAACGATTATCATATAGTAGCGGCGAGATTTCGTTTACGCTACATCGAAATTACAATATCGCAACTTGCATAATTTAATCATAAATAAATTAAATATTATACACCAATTACGACACAGATAATATAATATTGTATTACTTTCAAATCCAAACCGTTTTTATTCAAAAAGTTTATGTCAAGCAAAAAGTGGGTACATACATAACAAATTCTGTAAACGTTTTGTCAGGTGCTTTTTTTTCTACACGTATTTTTTATGCGGAAAAATGTATGTAAATTGCCTGATTAAAGTGTTTGCCATATAAGAAATATAAAGTTAGAACTAAATAAGTTCAACTTGATCAATTCTACAGACTTTTTTTGCGTTTTATTTGAATTTATTTCTCGTCTGTTTGTCGCTTTTTAATTATAGACTCCTTGTTGGCACTTCTTTCTATGACCTTTCTCTTGCCTCTTGTAATCTTTGTGGCAACGACGGTACTGTTGGAAGCGTGGACGTTTGCTCTTTGTGTAATTCTTGTACACGTTTTGCGACCGATGATTTGATTGTCGTTGTATCTTTTGTAGACCCAAAGAATATAAGAATGTACCAAATTATCGGATCGAATCCCAACAAAAGAGAAATATAAACGTCATAATAGAGAACGCCTTTGTATATAATTAAATCAACTGTGAATTGGGACTGTGGCACTTTTTTGAGCAGCGGTTATAGATTTTGAAAGTCCGCTGGTCGTGGGGGTGCGTCACCATATATATATTTAAAAACTGTCACCGAAAGTCTTAGTCGGTTATTAATGACAGATGATACGCTCGTAACCTTTACGATAAATTTAGCGACCATTGGCGTTTCGGGACAATCTGCACTGTCGATCGGAAGTAGTGTGTGGGAGAAAATTACCATATTAATATCGAGTGAATTGTCATTAATCAAGTACGAAAAATTTCCATAGACAAGATACACTGCATTCGTTTGTAATGTGCGGCCGGTTAAAGGGTCAAAAGGTTCTTCGCTACTGTCGCCTGTTATTTCTGGATCAGGGATAAAGTGATCCGCTGCGGTTCCCCTTCAGGTATGTGGCCAAGCCCTATTCCTCTTGGTATTTCATAATTATTGACCGACAATATACAATTAATGACATAAAAGCAGGCATTTTTTGGTTTTGATACTAGATTGTAAGAGGAGTATAATTAATAAATGTATATTCATTAGATGCGGTACGACTGTACTTATAGGTTTGGGATTGAATAGTGAAATTTCTTTTTTCCAATTGTTGATCACACACTAATTGTGGCTGAAATTTTATCACGCCCACTCACTCATCGTGGCTGAAAATTTATCACGCCACACAGTTTAAGTGATACTGTCGATCACACCAATTACACTATTTAATATTAACCGCCACTTTTATCAGGTAATTGTATTTTACACGACCTCATTCTACCCCAAATGAAGTTTTTGAGAATCTGCTTCTACTTCGCTTCTGTCGAGTTGAAATTCAATACATAGAATAGAATAGAGAAAACAATGTAGATATATGTAATTGACCCGCAACTTTATTGCATGAAGTTAACCAAAAATCCGCTTAATACGGAAAATGACTGACCGACGAAAACATTGAAGCAAAAGTATAATAAGGTTAATTAACAAAGACCATGGTTACGCAAAATTTCATAGTCCTCAACTGACATGGCACAACACCACATTTAACCAATAAGAGAATAACACTTTACCATCATCGCATCGTTAAGCGACTACTCTTGCACTAGTACAATCGCATACGAGGTATATAGACGACACCTTAGAAATTCCCTTATTTAAGTATGGCAACGTTAACTTTTGCGTTTGTAGGAAGTCGAAGCTCAATTTCTGTTACCGTTGCAGGCGACGATTCGGTGAGAAGCTCAATCACCACCAGTGATGTGTTAAATACCGTTTCCACAAGCATTCCTACTGTTACGTCAACGATGAATGCTTCACAAAGTTATTTTCCCAAGATTATACTTAAAATGATGGAACACGGACTTATGCCAGCTGACGAACAAGTCAAAGAATTGTTAGCAAACATACACTATCCAGAGAATCTTTATGCACTCAAATATATTCTTGAACGTAAAGGCGAATTTGTATCAATAGAAACGTTAGTCACTGCTATGGAGAGTTTGTATCCTCAAAAAGCCGAGAAAGCAATTCCAGAAGTCAACTTACATGTGAGTTTCTTGATAACCTTAGAAAATTTATTTCAGTATGTAAGAAAATGAATGAAAAGCTCACACAAGTTGGCCATGAGTTTTGGAAGCCGGATTTTTTGCTGAATTTAACAAGCAAGATGAAACCATCCAAATTTCGGATGTAATTGTGATAATGAATATCTTTGAAATTATTAAAAATACGTTAAACAGTATTCGAAGTGACAAGAAGCTGCAACAAAATGTAGATTGAGCCATTGCAGCCTTAAAAGCTATACTTGTTTCAGTTCCTGCTTTAGCCAAGGTTGGGATTAGAATGACTATTGGAGTCGAAATTCCTCTTGGTGGTTTTGACATAAAGAAATCATGGCAGTATTTTACTGAAGCATTCCATGTTGAGCCATCAGGCAAACCATGGTATACTACCTGGAGAAGGATTATCATGTTGCAAGACAGTCTTGACAAATGGTGTCAACAAGAGCCTACTATTTCAACAAGTTTTAAAGAGAGACTTCTTCTTGAGTACCTCTGGTATCATATTGGTTTGTGCTACTCTGATGATGCCATAGGAAATCCAGATGTCAGTGATGTGCTTTGGTTTGGCATTTTGGATATCATTCATCAACTTGTTAAGAAAACCCTTTATATAACTACACATGCCATCTGCTATTGTTATTATATAGCATTAGATTCACTAAACAATGCAGCCAATGAGTTTATCCAGTTTAAATCAACTGAAGTTTTGTTAAGCCTTGAAGCTAAAAACAATCAATTGTTTGTGACAGTAGCTGATGACATTGCTCATTGTGATGAAGAATATATACCAAGATTGGTGAGCATTTATTATTATCTGAAAAAAAGGCAAAAGTTGAATCAAGATTGTTTTCAAAATACTCACCAGGTGAGATTGACATGAGTAACCAAATTTCTAAAGAAGAAAAGGGTAAAGAGAAGTGTAGTGAAAAGAGTCCAATTGACTATATTGCAGAAGATTTTACATGTATGTGCAATTACTTATGAAACTGTTGGCAGTTTATATGGGGCATGCTGTAACAAAACCAGACAAAGTGAACATTTGACGTCGTTCGATCCTCATGCTCGAAGATTTTATTTTCATCTTTTCTGCATGACTTTTAATGATTCGATATTCTCCATAAAGTTCAAGAGTGTATGATGAACGAAGTCTTGCATCTCCGTGAAATCTCGAGGAAGATTTGCGTTGTCTACTTCGTTCAGACAATAATTCCCTGAATTGACATTGGCCGTGGAGGCATTATCAGCTTCTGACAATAATAACTTTCAATGAGAGGGTAACGTACCACGATAGTTAAGATAATACAGATAAAATCCGGAGGCGGAAACTTTGACCACCAAATACAGTTAAATTTTTCGGCAGACGCCTCTGATTCTTGATTATTTCTTTGACAGCCCTTGCGAAAATATTCTTTAAGTTACGCGCAATTTTTGTGACATCGGCAATCTCCTTTTCTTCCTTTGCCGCCGGCCTTGATCCTTCAACATAGACCAGCTGGAATTCATCCGCATTGGTCATGCATCCAATGCCGTCAGCGAGGTTTTTGTCGATGTGATATTTGGATGGGACTTCTCCATAATTGTAATGTAACCCCGCTAAGCAGCATCAAGACACGGGTGGACAAAGGCATTTAGATGAGTTTTTTCGATCGCGGCTATGTTAGGAGAGGATTTTGAGCGCCAAGAGAGAACGCTTTTATACTACAAAGGAAATATAAGAATGGATCCCTTAAAAAAAATTAAAAATAAAAAGATAAACATGATATATACAATTGCGGCAGGGTACTTCGGACAATTCGCACTATGGCAACCATCAAAAATCATCTGAGTCTTGACATCGCAGATCGTCAGTCTTCTTTTGCCACCCTTCGCCTGTTGTAGCTTGTGAGAAGAAACGAACGAGAAAATCATGCACATCGGTAGAAATTAGTGATTCTGTTATAGTGTCCATCTCAGAAAAATACGAATCTGCTGTTGATCTTGGAAGCTTTCCGAGAAAGGGCGAACACAGACGGAGGTCGATTAAATCCCCAACCGGATTTTGTTTCGCGTAGATTGAACAAACTGTTTTCATCGCCTCCGAGCATTCAAAGGTGTTGCCCAAAATGTCTCTAATCGCTTCCTACAGGTAATAAGAAGAGAATTAGCTGCTTGTCAGGTATTGTTTAAAGTATACAACTGATTCAACTATGTCGTCATCCTGATGTTTATCTACCTGGCCATCAGCTGGCTCATGAGCATCAATTTTTCGGGACTTTGATTTTGTTTGATCGAGATGGACGTCTCCTTGTCGTTTCTATAAACGAAGAATTTCATTATTCCTAGTTTTACAAGCACTTTTTGGTACATAATTTACATAATTGAAATTTTGATACGCCTTACCATGTTTGCTATATTTTTGCCATTATCTTTATCCTCGCCGCACTTGTCATCTTGCCCGTTCGATAGACGTCCAATTAACTGAGCCTCTTGATGTACAGCTGCAGTACCCATGACTTTTAATGTGCTTAACTGAATGTCGACGTTGGTATTGAACTGTTGCTCACACAACATAATGAGACTCTTGGAATCTGGCGAAGTAATACAGCATACTGTTGTTTTTCCAGCTCCCTCTTCTTTTCAAAGAGATTCCAGAACTCGGTAGCTTCTCGGCCGTTCTTCTAAAAAATGACAAATAAGTTACCATTGCATTGATGAAATTTTCGTATGTTGGTCGTCGGCGCTTGTTACACGTTGTAACCGAGGACGAAACCTAACTTCCGGAGTTAACAGGGGCGACACCTGCTCCAGCGTGATTGCAACCCTATATACAAGCGCTCCGTAATTGCACCGAGGACGAAACCTAACTCCCGGAGTTAACAGGGGCGACACCTGCTCCAGCGTGGTGCAACTTACAGACTAGCGGAGATTTCGCTAGCGACAACAGTACATATGCATATATAGACGCCTACAAACCTGTTTGAGAAGGAATGAAGCAGCTATTTGTCGTCCTTCGTCTGTGTCGTTTTTCCAATTTCCCTTAGCTCTTGTTTGAATTTTTTCATCCATAATGATTTTAACGTCTTCAATCTGTTATTTTGGAATTGGGGCTTCATGGTCTCGAGATATCCGAGGTACGACCATTCTTTCGCGGGAACTGACACAAAATACTGAACAGGTGCAGGTTGACTGTGTTCATTTGGGTGCTCATCCGCCAAACCTCCGTTCGTGTGCTCGTTGCTCGACATTGACTTAACTTCTGCCATCGTAATGAACAGTCTATGAGTATGTTGGCAACTTGGCTTTTGTTTTTACGTGATCGGAACGCGTAACGTCATCAATCCAAGCCACAATCAGGTATGACAGTATCCACATATCGATATCACCTATGTAAAGCAGAATGGACATTTATATATTGATATAATTTATAGTTGTACATATTTATGTCATGATTCCGTTTCACACTTATTCATTGCCATGACCATCAATTATACGAGACGACGACAACAGTAACGGAATCATGGCGCACGTAGAACAAATGGTGAGGGTTCATGCGTAAGTGCTTGTCGACGATTATTTTGGCTCTTATTTTCTTACTGTAATAAAAAGATAATAAATACATGAGGTTAACTCTACATAATGATATGAACGCGCAAGAGTAAGGTCAAGCGACAACTATTGATTTTATGCTCCTATTTTTCTTTTTTTCCTTGGCTCCTGAAAGGGTTCGGCCAATGTTCACTTAGGAGGCTTTTCTATCCTTTCCTCTTGGTAAACCTCATAAATTATCTTTTCTTGGTCCAGATAATTTTTGATAGTCTGCGTGCTTTTTAGTTTGAAAATGTGAGGAGCAATTTTTTCGCCTTGCCCTTGCTTTAAAAGAGAGCGTAAAGTGCTGTAGTTTTTGGGTCCATAGTGGAACTGATATAGATGAGTTTCATATATTTCAATTTTATATACACGGCTACTCCTATGTACAGTATAACGATAATACATAATAAATATACAATATTATCAAATTTTTACAAAATCAGACAAACTGCATAATATATATATATATATTGTATGTAAATCCCGTAACCATGTAAATCCCGTATTTACATATGTAAATTATGTAAATCCCGTCGAAGGTCCCTAAAATTTCTTAATAAAGACCCCAAAATAAAAACCGCCTTTAACATGTTCAAATACCATCGGTAAAGAACAAGTTGTATTTGTTATCGTTACCAAGCATT